TCAAAATTTCAGCTTCTTAGCTTTTCTGATTCCCAAGTTAGTGATTTCCCCGCCAAAACTTTCACCCTCTCGTATGCGGAGCCTAAACTTGCGTGAGGGTTGGTACCGCGATCCTGAGGTGGCACTTGGTCGAGGAACCCACTGGCAAAATTTTGGTGCCGGAGTTTGTGCGCGAGTTGAAATACCTGGACACACACACCCACACACGGGGGTCATCATAATATGCGTTTTTGCATTTGCATATAAGCAAAAATGCATAATTAGTAGCACGTGAATTACGCTTCCGTTATACTTCGGATAGTTGCTATTCATGCTGTAAATCTCAGATATTTTTGCAGCCGACATTTATGCTGCCATGTGCTGTTTTAATGTCTTCCATGGTTAAAGCGTACCATACAAGTATATAAGTTGTTGAATCGACGACCATACACTGTTCATATTCACATTTATAAATCGTTTTTCAGTTTTTTTTTTTACATTTTTTTCCTCATCTACGAGGAATTACGGCAACTCATTCCTCAATCTACTCAAAATTACGGCAACTCATTCCCACACACTCCTGGAGCCTCAATTTGAAGTTTTTAAGTTGTGCGTGGCGGAGAACATCCCCTCAAAATTTTGGCCTCCCAGCCTTCCTGGTCCCGAGTTAGCAGTTTTCCCGCCAAAACTCTCACGCGCTCGCACGCCGGGCCTAGACGCCTGTGAGGGCTGGTACTGCAGTCTTGGGGTGGCACTTGACCGAGGATCCCACTGGCAAAATTTTCGCGCCGAAAATTTTTGCTGGGAGAATTGCTCACTCAACGACCAGAAAAGACAGAAAGCTGAAGTTTTGAGGGGATGTTCGCTGAGCAAATACCATATGGTTTCACAATAAATTTCCTGGACTTCGAGGACTACGGTATGCCATAAATTCTAGCTACTGGTATTCCAAGCGATCTAATGCAAAAAGCACGATGGTGATGATATTTGCTGTTTTTGCATGCTTGACCCACCACAATTCGGGTACATTTTATACGCGTGTTGAGTGACCGGGTGACGATAATGGAGTTTGAGCTTCAATCCTTTGGTGGTTCAAATATCCTTCTCGTCACTTGCGGGTCCCAGTTAGCCAACTATTACTCACGCCGTTTCCAAAGAGAAATACAATCAGTAGCGTATTGACCAGAATCACAAAACAATTCCAATCAAACCAGAAAAAAAAGCAAAAAACTTTTGGTTTGCTTTATAAGTCGTGCCGTGGCCCCACCCTCATTTACAGGGGGTTTTACAGCCAAGCGATGGACTCATAAACTGACTTCTGGGATGCGTTCACCCTCCTAAAAAAAGAACATCTGGAATACCCTTGCACGCTTGCAGACTTCATTTAAATGCATCCCATAAATTATCATCAGAA